AAGCATGTACCCTGGCTGGGAATCGAACCTGCGACACTTTGGTTCCCAGCCCACGCTCGATCCACGGAGCTACGCCACCCAGGGCGCCGCACATCACTGCTTTATTGTCATTGTTTTCCCTCCCAAACGGAAAGTGTGGCGGGGGTGGGGTGGGGGGGGTATATCCTTAACTTTGACCCCCTGTGTGCTGTGTGCAACGTGTTCAGGTGATCGACCTCACCGTGAAAGTAAGAAAGCTTTATTGTCAGAATTATGGAAAAGTCTTTGATGGTAGGTGGAGGCGCGCGCGCCGCTGACCACCTCGAGAGAAAGAAAACCAGAAACACTACGTCTCGCTAGTGTGGCTCGGACAATACATGGGTATTGAAGCGTGAAGGGGTAGGTGCGGCTGTGGACCTTTCTCCTGGCCGGTGATGAGAGCGTCGTGGCCTGTCACAGGTCTCCTTGTGCTTTCTCATCGAGCCGGTGAAGAAAACAGATGCTTTCTTTACATTCACTGACACTCTCCTGCTGCCTTGTCCCATAAGTGCCCTTGTTGCATAGTGACAGGAGAGGGATAAGGAAGACGCTTTTAGGTTTTTTTTTTTTTTAAACAACCCACCCACCCACCCACCCTGGCTGGTGTGGATCAGTGCATTAAGCGCCGACCTGCAAAGCAAAGGTCACCCGTTCGATCCCCAGCCAGGGCACGTGCCTCGGTTGCGGGCCAGGTCCCCAGGTGGGGCACGCCAAAGGCAACCACACATGGATGTTTCCCTCCCGCCCTCCCTCCTCTCTAGAAATCAGTCCGTCGACCGATCAAACCTTTCACAACAAAACGGGATCATGACTTAGGAATCACAGCACGCCCCCCTCCCCCGCCCGCACAACCCCCATGGCAGAACCTCCCCCCCTTCCTTCCTTCAGAGTTGCCATCTGTGGGGTTCTTTCACGTCTTTTCAACTTCCTTTCTCTTTTGCACGGTGAGGAGGCGAGTGAAATCGTCAGCGAGTGTGTGAAGTGAGGCTGAGGATTTCCCGTGGAAACCGGGTGGGTGGAGGGAGGTGGAGGGAGGATGGCTCCCTCCACCCATCCCTCCGGCGCTTGGAGCACAGCGTTGCTGTGGGAGCATGTCTGCTGGCCCCCTGACCCGGGGTTTTGGAGTCCCGTCACCCCATACCCAGGCCTCCCCGGGCCCTGCTCCCTCCGCGCCTCACCACCCGGAGCTGGGCCCATCCAGCGCCTCTAAGACCACGGAGAGCTACTGTCTACCGTCTCCCCCCGCCCCCCCCAACCCCCCTCCGACACTGGGCCCGCGCCCTCACCACCACCACCCCCCCCCACCCCCCCCACCCCCCCCACCCAGGATTCTGAAATGGCGGAGGGCTGTCTCTCCTGGGCCGGGAAATGGCGGCGGGGTGGGGGGCGGGGAAGTGGAGGACAGGGATTCTTTTTCGCCTGGCACCGGCCCGGCCGGTTCCTCCAACATCCTCTTCCCTGTCCCCTCCCCCACTCCCTGGAGTTTGGAAGCTGTGGCTGCGGGGCGGCCTAAGGGAGGGGGGAGTCGAAGGAGCGGAGGCTCTGAATTCCACCCAGAGAGCTTTCTGCATTTGAATGACACCGTTGAGTGAGGTCCTTGGGAAACGAATCGCCCCGACCTTCCAAGCTGCCCAGGGGACCAGACGTCTGTGGATGAGAGGAGACCTGCTCTGGGACTGCCCTCCCATTTCCCTCTCGGGTGCTGACGAAGGGGAGGGGGGAGGGGGGAGGGGAAGGGCGGCGGCGCGGCCAGAGGGACTGCCGGGGATGCCGCTGGCTCCGGGGATGTCTGTGGTTTCTGCTGAGGGGCCGCTCGCCAGGGGGGCGGGAGCTAAACTCAGCTCTCCTCCTGCTTCGGACAAGGTCTCGAGGCTGAGCCGGCCCAGGTTCTGGAGATTTTCTGATCCACGAACCGTCCCGCATCCTCCTCTCCCGCCCCAACTTTGTGCAGGGATGCTCCCACGTTCTTTCCGTTTGTCCGTACCAAAGAAACAGACCCGAGAACGAGCCCCACCCCCGCACGGCACGACCCATTCTGGGACTGCAAGGAAGTCCAGTCAGTTTCGATTCAGCCCGATCGTTTGCATAAACACGACAGGAAGAGCGATGGGTGGTATACTAGGTGACATTTTCACGGTTCTTTCATTGTTCTCCTCCCCCCACCCCATGACTATGTATCGAGTCCCTTTATCTCCCTCACCCCACCCAAACAGGCCTTCTCCAAGCCACTTGGCTGGAACGTGACGCGGGCGTGGGGTAGGGAGAGACAGATCGATGCCTCCCCATTGCTTATGCCAGTATACAGCACGGATTTGCTTTGAGAAACGCAGAGTGTTCTCACGTTTGAAAACCAGGCGAGTCAAGACGAGTGATACTGTTGTCACACACACACACACACACACACACACACACACACACACACACAGAGTGATAGAGGCCACGCTCCTCTTCACTGTATCGATGACGTCCCGTGATGAATTTC